TTCTTCTTCTTCTTCTTCTTCTTCTTTCTTCTTCTTCTTCTTCTTCTCCTCTCTCTCCTGCTCCACCACAGTAACACATACTTGCTTCCCCTTCACCTTCTGCCATGATTGGAAGTTTCCTGAGGCCATGCTTGCTGTACAGTCTGCAGAACTGTGAGTTAATTAAAACTCTTTTCTTCATAAATTATCAAGTGTCAGATATTTCTTTATAGCAATGTGAGAATGGACTAATAAATGAGGTTTCCCCTGAAATTTTCTTCTCATAAACATCAGCTTGTTCTAGCAACATTTTAACCCAGCTTCTCTGGCCAGTGTACCTTTGTAATTACTTTAATTTTACTCTGCTGGCTTCCAAGTAAGATTATTCTTTTTAATGAAAGGAAGCAGATAATAAATAGTAAGTAGACATTTTATATAGAGAAAGTTTTTTTCTGCCTTGAGAGCTGAAGAATTGCTATCTCATTAGAGGACAAGTGATAGTTAAGAATAAAGGTCCTGGAATCAGGTTGTGTGGGTTCAGATCTTGACTCTCACTATCTTTAGCTGTGACCTTGGGCCAGTTATTTCAACTCTCTGGGCTTTGCTGTTCTTTTCTGTTAAATAGGGTTAATAATAGGGCCTTCATATTAGGGCTGTTGTGAGAAATAAGTAGGATTTAGAAGAGTCACATAAAATCCTCAATAATATTATCTATTATTAAATGCAAGTCCTATTCTATGATGGCCTCAATAAGGATTGATTTGAAATTAGCCTAGGATTTAAAATTTGCTATGTTCCTACGTATCAAGATCACCAAAAAATTGTAACACAAAGCAAAACTTCTAATGACTTCACCTAGTATTTCAATTTGGGAAATATATTCTTTTTTTTTTTTTTTTTTTTTGAGACAGAGTCTTGCTCTGTCAGTGAGGCTGGAGTGCAGTGGCACGGTCTCTGCTCACTGCAACCTCTGCCTCCTGGGTTCAAGTGATTCTCCTGCCTCAGCCTCCCGAGTAGCTGCCATTAGAGGTGGCTGCCACCACCCCTGGCTAATTTTTGTATTTTTAGTAGAGATGGGGTTTCATAATGTTGGCCAGGCTGGTCTCAAATTTCTGACTTCATGATCCACCCACCTTGGCCTCAGAAAGTGCTGAGATTACAGGCCTGAGCCACCGCGCCTGACCTGGGAAATATATTCTAAGAAGAAAGTAATTCAAGATGAAAACATACTTAGGTACAGAAATATTAATCACGTTAATTATTCAAAAAAGCAAAAAGCCACTTCTGGATGTAACTTTCACTCAGATAGTAATATACTTAAAAGTAACATAAAAATTTATACATTATATAAAATTAGAGAATTTCCACAAATGTAATGTCTATTATTTTATTTATATTATACAATAATTTATAACTTATTTAATAAACATTCATTCAAACTGTATTTATAAAAATTCTCTAATGGATGGAAAAGACTTATGACAAAACAGGTTAAAAAAAGACAATAAAATTGGCCGGGCGCAGTGGCTCATGCCTATAATCCCGGCACTTTGGGAGGCCAAGGCGGGTGAATCATGAGGTCAAGAGATCGAGACCATTCTGGTCAATGTGGTGAAACCCCGTCTCTACTAAAAATACAAAAATTGACTGGGCATGGTGGCACACGCCTGTGGTCCCAGCTGCTTGGGAGGCTGAGGCAGGAGAATTGCTTGAACCCAGGAGTTGGAGGTTACGATGAGCCGAGATCGTGCCATTGCACTCCAGCCTGGGTAACAAGAGCAAAACTCCATCTCAAAAAAAAAAAAAAAAAAGACAATAAAATTGTATATATTGTACATGCTAAACTGAAAAATAACACACACAGAAGAAGAGAAATGCACCAAATTTATCTGAGCAGTTAACTCTTTCTTGGTGCTGAGATTATAGGTAGTCTTTCTATTCATCTGCATTGAAACTACTTTATTAATTTATCATATAAATGAAAAAAAAAATTTTTTTTAAGTTAACATAGATAAACTCGTTTTATAAAGTGGCATTTGACCAGCTGGAATTTTAATTATGTTAGGTCAGAAAGGGAATCCTAAAATATTTGAAGGAGGGAGTTGCCTGTTTTTAATAATCTTCACTTAATAAAATGGTTTGTACTCTGTGAACAGTTATTTTGAGATGCTGACATACCTAGAGATTGGCTGGATAAATCAGATATCTAAATTTTAGTAATGTCAAGCAGAGCAAATAGAAAAATTAAGAGCTCTTAATAATACATCTGAGTCTTTTTTTCTGGTTCCTTCTTTATTTATTTATTTTTTTATAAATGAGACTACTGGGTCTAATAAAAATCAGTGCACTATATATTGCGTATTTTTACAAAGCTAGTAGCAGAGGTAGTGGGAACAAGAGAGAAACCTTGAAGTGCTGATGGAGACAAATGTGAGGGTGAGGCCATCAGAGGTGATAGTAAAACATCTGACACTGGTAATTGGTAGCATCCAGGACATTTGGGGGCTGTGCAATTTCCAAGACCACTGAAAGTTTCCTTGGAGTGTGAAAGATACTAGATTTCTGCTCTCGGACCTAGAAGAGGACGTAAAGGTTAATTGGCCTGCATCTACTGCAGCATCTCAAGAATAGGCTCATCAGCTTTGTTGTCACTGCCTGACAAGATCCAAGATGACACATTAAGGTTGTGGAACAGGAAAAATAAGTGGAGTCAGAAGATAGTCAGAAAGCTGCAAAACCACTGCTAGCTTTAACTTCCTAAGGATTCCAGAGCCCTTGTCCTGTCGCTTCCCTTTCTACCAGGAATAGATACTGTCATGTTCAAAGGGCAGAACTCGGACCATCCGATTCTGATGTTTGTCCACAGCACTGTCTCTGTGTTCTCCCACACACTGTTCTCTTTTCCTGTGCTTAGGCTTCAAGCTTTCATCTCGAAGGTACGAGAGAACACAAAGAATGGCAGAAGAAAACTTCGATTTTGCAGGAAAAGGCACAACAACAGAGATTCTCAACAAAGATGGTAGAGACTCTCTAGATAAACTTGAAGATTTTAATGTGGACTGAATTCCTTCCCCTATTTGTAAAGGCATCCTTGCTTCTAAAGTGATTTTGTTTTGCTGCTTTCAGTTTATCATTATAATGAGTATCATCATCATTACTATCATTGTATAGTGGCTTACTTTGGACAAAATACTTTCATATATATTATTTTATTTAATTCTTATAAGAGCCCTATGTCAAGTTATTACTAGCTTTTTACAGTTGAAGAAATCAAAACTTAGAAATTACATGATTTTCTCATGTAAAAAAGGTCAAACTCATATGTTTTGACTGTTGTTCATCTGTTTGGTCCTAGAACTGACATACACTATCACGTCAATTGTCCCAAATGACAAAATCCTGAGACTGACTGTATTCCCATTAGGGTATGTCCCAAATTATCTAAATCTTCCTTTGGATACTTTGTTAGTCTAGTACTCAATGCTTATAAAACTCAGAAAAATCTAAGTAAAATAGAAAGAATTCTACCTTTTCTTTTTTTTTTTTTTTTTTTTGAGTTAAGAATACTATTTTAATTTATTTGCACTATCCTAAAGTGACAGTCTTGGCAATATTCTGCTCTGAAGTCTTTCTTGATATATTTTCCATAAATATACAGTTTCCCAAAATGCTTCCACTTTGGTAGCAAAAGAGAAAAAAAATATTATTTTAGGCCCAGAAGCAAAGACTGTGAAGGTTATGGGCAAAAATATATATATTGTGCACAGTTCTCCAAATCTTAACATAGGTCCAGTAAACATTTCCAGTTCCCAGACTGCCTTTTGGCTCTCATCAAAGAACTCTGAGCCCTGTTTTTAACTCAAAAAGACCTCCTATACCCTGATAACACCCTTGATGTCGGGTTCTAAAAACAAAGAGCTGTCAAGTGTCAACATTTGTGGAAAGAGGTCAAATTAGCATTTCCTCTTGAGAATTTGCACCAGCTTTTTCTGTTACTGGCTCTGGCACTCAAAGAAAGCAGGATGTTTGTTATTCCTTAGACCTAGATGAGAAAAAACTCAGCTCTGTTGCTTTCAGGGGATGGTAATATTTACTTGATGGCAGAAGTAAAAAAGATATGAAAACTCCTGACTTTGGGAGGATTTAATTTTTTTCTCTATCTATGGTGTCTCATTCAGTATAATACAACAAAACTTAGAAGGGTTATTGTTTTTGTTAGGGCTGCTAGAACAAAATATCTTGTTCTAGGTAATTTATGAGTAGCACAAATTTATTGCTCACAGTTCTTAAGGCTGGAAAGTCCAAGATCAAGGAACCACCAGATTCAGTGTCTGCTGAGGGCTTGCTCTCTCCTTTAAAGATGGTGCCTTATTGCCATGTCCTCATGTGGCAGGAGAGACAAGTTTCCTCAGGCTTCTTTTATAAAGGAACTAATCCCATTCATTAGGATTGAGCTCTTATAACTCAATCAACCACGCAAAGCCTCATCTCTTAATTTTACCACATTGGGGATTAGCCTCCAACATATGAATTTTTGGGAGACACAAACATTCAGATCATAGCAGTTGTAACAAAAATTAGTAAAACTGTAGCAATTTGAGATTTACTGAAACATATTTTTGTAGGATTTTATGTTTTTGATTCAAACATTTATTGAGTACCTATTCTCTATAAGGTACTGTGGGAGGTTAAAAATATGACTTTTTCAACCACATTCCTCTGGTAAGCCTTCTCTACACCTACCCCAAAACAATGTAAGATAATAATCTATACACTTCAATGTAGCCAACATTTATCTTGATCATAACAATCATTCGAAAAGTATTTACTGAAGGTCTTCCAAGTGTCAGGCAATGTGCTAAAATCTTGAGAGCCAACATCTTTCCTACTAAGCTGTGAGCAACCTGAAGACTGAGATTTAAATGAAAAATATTAATACATTAATTGAAATGATGCTGGCTAACTCTCTAGAACAAAAGGGGAAATTGTAGACCCAGCGAGAGATAGGCACTAGAAGTTCAAGTGGCAGGAAATGGTGGGCAGTTTCTTCCATGTTTTTTGTTTTTGTTTTGAGATCGTGTCTTGCTGTGTCACCCAGGCTGGAGTTCGGTGAAACCATCACGGCTCACTGCAACCTCCACCTCATGGGTTCAAGTTATTCTCTTGCCTCAGCCCCCTAAGCAGCTGGGATTATAGGCGTGCACCACCATCCCTGGCTAATTTTTGTAGTTTCAGTAGAGACAGGGTTTTGCCATGTTGGCCAGGCTGGTCTCAAACTCCTGACCTCACGTGATCCACCCACCTTGGCCTCTCAAAGCGCTGGGATTACAGGCGTGAGCCGCCACGCCTGGCCTGAGTTTCTGCCATCTTAAAATTAAACACCTGTCAGGGTTTTAGGTCTTTGCATCTTTATTCAATAGTCCAAGTCCTTCAAGGGATAATACAATTAGCCTAACTGGAGTCACAGGCCCACGACTTGAACAGTGGCACCTGGACAAATAATCCCGTGAAGGCAGCACACATAGCAGTGGAGTGCAAATTTACTCTAGGGATTGAGAATGTGTAAATTTACTCTAGGGATTGAGAATGTGTTTCCAAATCAAAGAGGAACAGACACAGCTAAAACACAACAAATATACATTGTATGTGGCAACACTACACAAAAACCTTTTACGTCTAAATTCTGGAATTTAAAATGGAAATCCTTACTTTACGTTTTCTCCTGCTTTCTGATTCCTCTCATCTGCCTCTGGCCTTCATTCAGGAGGAATGTGGAGATAAATGCCCACAAATGCATTGCTGAGATGTCCTACCAAACAAGGTAGACTAAGAATTAATAAGTCACAGAATTTGGAAACAACTATTAACAGTTTTGATTCTATAGTTATCTAAAGGCTATTTGCTTTTTATCTGGGCTGTATTTTGTATTTTTGCTAAGTATAAACTTATTTATTTGTCCTCCTAATTCAGAGAAGTGAATTCCCTCATCTTAGAGTTCTCATTTTTTCTTTTTTTTTTTTTTTTTAGGTACTATGAAAGCCACATTACTTAACATTTTTGTCTCAATTTTTCCACCTGCAAAACAGGACCTACGTATAATCATTATTAATGCTGCCATATTTAATGCTTGTCCAAATATTTATGATATTCAGACATAGTTGTCTTTACTTTTCCTTGAGAAATGTCAACTTTCAGTCAGTTGGCCCAGGTAAAAAGATGAAGACAAGTCTGATTCTGGGGCTTTCTGTTCACTGTTCTGTTTGGTTTTTCTCTTGTTTTTTCATGCCCTTTTCCCACATTTCCATTTTCTCTCAGAGTGAGATAATTAGTGTAAAAAGTCAACTAAATGGTGCTTGGGGACAGTAAGTCTTGAGCATACTGACATGTGTCCCATGTTCCACTGTTACACAAGTTGCTTAAATCTCACTGCAAATGTCGTCAAGTTTTCCATAGCCCAGGATGGCTGGCTGGCTTCCAGCTATGAGAAATGGCTTCCTGAACATGGTCTGGTGAAGCTGGTGATTTCAAGATTTGTGTAGCCTGCATCTTCTCAGCTTTGAGGATTCAACAGTCATTAAGTTCTCAGAAAAATGGGGATTCTAGAGCTTTTTATGTCACGTAGTACAAACCACATTTGATTATGTGAAACATCAGGAATTCACTTAAATCCATAGACAAATCAGGATTCCACACAGTATTACACTCATTTTTTATGACTCATGGGAACTCTGTTCTTGTAAATTCAAATATGAGTGATTAAAAAAAATTCCTAAATGGGTCTCATTGTTCCTAGATATTTTATAATACCTTGTCTTTCTCTTTTGAGAAAAAATGGAAAACCCTTGCTCCTTTATCCTTAGAATATCCTTCAGGTCCTGTTTCTCCTTTTCTCTTCTATCACTTAAGTGACTGATTAGATTTCTTCATTTAATATCTGGAGCTTCATATCTAGAAAAAAATTATTTTTCCAAGTGAGCTCTGGAAATTTCTGGAAAAGAAATAGAATTTCTTGAGATTGACATTTCATAATATTTATGATAGCTCATAACATATTATGAATGTGACAGAATCTCTAGCTTTACTTAGACTCATAGAATTTTTAAAAATTACTTGTTTAAATGCCCTGGCACCAATATCTTTATTAAATTGCCTTTGAAAATAATGTAAAGTTCTGCACACTTAGGAAGATCAAAACAAAGCCATCTTCATAATGATACATACTGCTGAGCCAGGTTTGGAGGAAATATTAATAGTTATCAAGAACCTACTCTTTTTGTTTACTTATTTATTTAGAGTATTTTTAAGTTGATAGCAAAATTCAGGAAAAGAACGTAGATTTCCCACACTCCATGCCCCTGTACATGCATAGCTTCCCTTATTATCAACATCCTTCACCAGAGTAGTACATATTGTTGCAATTGATGAACCCCCATTGACACATCATAATCACTCAAAGTCTGTAGTTTACATTACAGTTTGTTCTTGGTGTTGTACATTCTATGGGTTTAGACAAATGTAAATATGAAGATACATATGCATAATTACAATACCATATGGAGTATTTTCACTGCCTTAACATCATTTGTGTTCCATGTATTCATTTCTTCCTTCCTGCAAGCCCTGGCAACTACTGATCTTTTAGTCTACATAGTTTTGCCTTTCCAGAAGATCGTGTTGGAATTGTATAGCATATAGATTTTTCAGATTGGCATCTTTCACTTAACAATATGCACTTAATATACTGTACATAATATGCATTCCTCCATATCTTTGTAGTTCATTTCTTTTTAGTGCTGAATAATATTTTAATGTCTGAGTGTACCACAGTTTATTAATTTCTTCATCCACTGAAGAATATCTTGGTTGTTTCCAAGTTTTGGCAACTATGAATAAAGCTGTTATAAACACACATGTGCATTTGTGTGTGTATATGTGTGTGGACATAACTTTCCAACTCTTTTGTGTAAATGCCAAGAAATGTGTTTGCTAGATTGTATGATAAGAGTAAGTTCAATTTTGTAGAAACTCTCAAACTCTCTTCAACAGTAGCTATATCATTTTGCATTTCCACCAGCAATGAATGAAAGTTCTTTCATTTATTTATTTATTTATTATATTGATTTTTTATTTATTAGCTTGTTGATGTGATGGAATACAAACATTGATTTTCAAATGTTGAACCAGCCTTGTATAGCTAGGATAAATCCCACTTGGTCACGATGTATGATTTTATATACATTGTTTGATATGATTTACTGAGGATTTTTATAGCTATTTTCATAAAATTTATTGATTTGTAGTTTTTATTTATTCTAATGTCTTTGTCCAGTTTGGGTATTAGGGTAATATTGGCCTCATAAAATGAGTTAGGAAGTATTCCCTCTGCTTCTCTACTCTGAAAGAAATTGTAGAGAATTGGTATCATTTCTTCCTAAATATTTTGTAGAATTCGTCAGTAAACTATTTGGTCCTGGTGCCTTCTGTTTTGGAAGGTTATTATTGATTCAATTTCCTTAATATAGGGCTATTCAAATTGTCTATTTATTTTTCTGTGAGTTTTGGCAAATTGTGTTCTTCAAGAAATTGCTCCTTTTTATCTAGGTTATCACATTTGTGTATGTGTTGCTCCCAGTATTCCTTTATGATTCTTTTAATGTTTATAGGCTTTATAATGATGTCACATCTTTCTTTTCTGATATTAGTTTGTTTCTTTTTTTTTCTGGTTCTTTTCAAAGAACGAGCTTTTGATTTTGTTGATTTTTCTCTATTAATGTCCTATTTTCAATTTCATTGACTTGATTTTTGCTCTAATTCTTATTTTTTTTATATATAGATTACTTTGGATTTAATTTGCTGCTTTTTTTCTAGTTTTCTGAGATAGGAACTTAGAATATTGATTTTAGGGCTTTTTTTAAAACTAATATTTGCATTTTAATACCATAAATTTTCCTCTTAGCACTGTTTTTGCTCCATTTTATAAATTTCATATTTTAAATTTTCTCTTGAGATTTCTTCTTTGACCCACATGTTATTTAAAAGCATGTTGCTGACCAGCCTGGGCAACATAGCAAGATCTTGTCTCTACAAAAGTTATTTTAAAAATTAGCCCAGAATGGTGGTGTGTGCCTGTACTTCTAGCTACTCGGAGGCTGAAGCAGGAGGATTGCTTGAGCCCTGGAGTTCAAGGATGCAGTGAGCTATGATTATGCCACTGAACTTCAGTCTGGGTGACAAACCCTTGTATTAAAAAAAAGCATGTGGCTTAATCTGTGTGCATTTTGGGATGTGGGATTTTTCCAGTTATCTTTTTATTATTGATTTCTAGTTTAATTTCATTTTGTCTGAAAGTAGACACTTCCTAATTTATATTCTTTTGAATTTGTTAAGATGTGTCTTATGGCCCGGAATAAGATCTATATTCATGAATCTTTCATGTAAGTTTGAGAATACTTTGTAATTAGCTGTTGCCTGATAAAATAATCCATAGATGTCAGTTATGTACAGTTGACTGATGGTGTTGTTTAGTTCAACTAGGTTGTTACTAATTTTATGCCTGCTGGATCTGTCCATTTCTGACAAAGGGATGTTGCAGTCTCCAGCTATAATGATGAATTCACCTATTTCTCCTTTGCTGTGCTATCAGTGTTTGCCTCAGCTGTTTTAACACTCTGTTATTAGGTGACTATACATGAAGAATTGTTAGATATCCTTAGAATTGACTCCTTTATCATTATGCAATGCTCTTCTTTAACCGTGATAACTTTCCTTGCTTTGAAGTCATCTTTGTCTGAAATTAATATACCTATTTCATTTTCTTCTAATTAGTGTTAACATGCCATATTTTTCTCCATTAATTTACTTCTAAATTATATGTGCCTTTATATTTAAAGGAGGCTTCTTGCAGACAATATATATTTTGGTATTTTAAAAAATCTACTCAATCTGTCTTACAAATAGTACATTTAAACTATTGATGTTCAAAGTGATGGTTGTATTAACATCTACCATATTTGTACTGTTTTCTCTTCAAGGCGTTCTTTTCCTTTTTTTTCTTTTCTTCTTCAGATGTCTCTGTCACCGAGTGTGAAGTACGGTAGTATGATCACAGCTCAATGTGGCCTCAAACTCCCCTGCTCAAGTGATCCTCCTGCCTCAGCCTTTTGAGTAACTAGGACTACAGGCATGTGCCACCATGCTGAGCTAATTTTTAAATTTTTTGTAGAGATGGTGTCTCACTATATTGCCCAAGCTGGTCTCAAACTCCTGGCCTCAAGCAATCCTCCTGTCTTGGCAGCCCGAAGCACTGGTATTATAAACATAAGCCACCATGCCTGGCCCCTCTGTTCTTTATTTCTGTTTTTATCTCCTGTTACTTCTGCTTTTTGTGGTTTTAATTGATTATTTTACAGATCCATTTTCTTTCCCTTTTTAGCTTATTATTTTTCTTTTTGATTTTTAAAAAATATTTTTCTAGTGCTTGCAATGAACCTCCACATCTAATCCAAATCCACTTTTAAATAACACGATAGCATTTCGGAGATAGTGTGAATAACTTAAAAAATAATTTGAATTTCTTCATCACATTCTTTGTATCATTCCTGTCATTCATTTCACTCATATATAATCATACATAAGCGTATATAACCAAAAACATTGTTATTTTGAACAAATTATTATCAGATCAATCAACAATCAGAAAAGCTTTTTTCTTACTTTCACCTGTCTTCTCTTTATTGGTCTTATTTTCTTCACGTAGATGCAAGTTTCTGACCTAGGTCAGTTTCCTCCTTTCTGATGACCTTCTTTTAACATCTCTTGCAAGGCAGGCCTACTGGCAACAAATTCTCTCAATTTTTATTTGTTTAAGAAAACCTTTATTTCTTCTTCACTTTTGAAGAATAATTTCACAGGGTACAAGGTTCTAGATTAGTGGGTTTTTTCTCTTTCAATATGTCATAGATTTGATTCCACTTTATTCTTGCTTGCATGGTTTCTGAGAAGTCAAATACAATTTGCCCCTCTAAGCAGCAATCCCCAACCTTTTGACATCAGGGACCAGTTTCATGGAAGATAATTTTTTCACAGATGGGGTCAAACTCTTCCACCTCAGATCATCAAGCATTAATTAGATTCTCATAAACAGCGTGCAACCTAGACCCCTTGCATATGCAATTCACAATAGTGTTCACACTCTTATAAGAATCCAATGTGGCTGATCTGACAGGAGGCGGAGCTCAGGTGGTAATGCTCGATTGCTGGCGCTCATGTGCTGCTGTGCAGCTCAGTTCCTAACAGGCTACAGGCCAGTACAGGTCTCTGGCCCAGTGCTGGGGACCCCTGCTTTATAGGTAAGAATCCCCACTCCCCCTTTCCCTGCTCCTGGCTTCTTTCAGAAGTTTTTATCTTCCATTTTCTATAATTTGAATATAGTAGGCCTAGCTGTTGTTTTTTGAGGCATTTATCCTGTTTAATGTTCTCTGAGCATCCTAATTTTATAAATTGGTGTCTGACATTAATCTCGGGAAAATTTTAGTCATTATTGTTTCAAATATTTGTTCTGTTTCTCTCTTTCTTCTCCTTCAGGCATTTTTCATTATGAATGGATTACATGTTTTATGGTTGTCCCACAGGGCTTGGATAGTCTGTTCTTTTTTCACTTTGCTTTTCAGTTTTGGAAGTTTCTATGGTCATATCCTCAGGCTAAGAGAGGCTTTCCTCAGCCTTGTCCAGTTTACTGATGAAACCATTAAAGGCATGCTTTATTTCTGCAGATGCATTTTTGATATCTAGCATTTGTTTGATTCTTTCTTAGAATTTTCATCTCCCTGCGTATATTATCTATCCCTTTTTGTATGTTGTCTACTTTTTGCATTAAGGCCATTATCATATTAATTGTAGTTTTAAAAAATTATTGGTTTAATTCCAACATTCCCACCATATATGGTTGGTTCGGATGCTTATTCTGCCTCTTCAAACTGCTTTACTGCTTTACAGTGTAACTTGCAATTTTTTTGTTTAGAGGAAGACATGATTTACTGGGCAAAAAATAATTTGGTTAAGTAGGCCTTAGTCATGTGGTGATGAAGTGTGAGGGGAGAAATGTTCTGTAGTCCTGTGATTAAGTCTCAAGTCTTTTAGTGAGGCTGTGCCTCTGGGCTGTGGCTTCAAAGTGCCTTCCAGTCCCCTCATTTAAATGGAACATTATGGATAGAGGAGACTGGAGTTGGGTATTTTCCTTTCCCCAACGTGGAAAGCTAGAGGATGCAGAGTTGGATATTTCCCTTCTCCTATGTGAAAGCCTAGAGCTGAGTGGATTTGGATATTTCCCTTCCCCAGGTTAGTTAGGCTCTGATAATGCCCCAGAAGACTTTTGTTAACTAGTTTCTCCTGAGGATCTTGTTAAGAAGCGTAGTGATTCACGCCCGTAATCCCAGCACTTAGGAAGGTCGAGGCAGGCGGATCATGAGGTCAGGAGATCGAGACCATCCTGGACATGGTGAAACCCCGTCTCTACTAAAATACAAAAAATTAGCCGGGCGT